CACCCCCCTTCAACCCTCTACTCAACCCTCCGCTCCCTCCCCGCCACCTCCCTCAAACAAACACACACGCACCTCATCCCCCCCCGCTCCGCCCACGCCTTCCGTGTCCCCGCCGGCGCCCTCTTCCGCCTCACCACACCCTCTGGCCCCCAAGTCGGGGACCTAAACATCTGGAACGCATGCGACCCGCGCGAACGGTTCTGGGCAGCGCGTACCAGGCAGTTGCAGAGTAGTCATGTTGGGGTGGGGGATCGGCTGTGGAGTTGTTTGCCGTTTTTGAGACCGCTTTGTGGGGTTGTTGATGAGTCGTGTGGGTTAGGGGAGAGGGGAGACGGGGTGGATGGGAGGGGGAAGGAGAGGAGCAAGTGGGGAGGGAGGTGTCATGATTTGTTGGGGACAAGGTGTGATCCTTATGGTAAATCTTTATCTCCTTTTTTTTTACTTTCATGTTCCCTCCCCCCCTTTAGTACGCGTGTGGTCAAGTAGCTAAAGCAAAGAAACGATCAGTGTCACATATGCTTACGGGCGCGAGCTACGATTTTCACTGCCACTCCAATCTCGTGCGCGCGGTGCTTCCGTTTGGCCTTACCGAGTTCGACGTCCACGATGTACTGAATGTGTTTCAAGTCACCGGGCTGGATGAGCAAGGGAGGTACTTTATGGAGGCTAGTCCGGCGACCGAGGAGAGTTATATTACGTTTTTCGCAGAGCAGGATTTGTTGTGTGCGTTGAGTACGTGTCCCGGTGGGGATTTGAGTGCGTGGGGGTGGCATCAGGCGGAGGAAGGGAAAGGAGAGGGCGAGGAGCCGGATATGAAGAGTACGTGTCGGCCGATTCGGGTCGAGGTGTTGGAGATTGAGGAGGGGGTGAGGAAGGAAGTATTGAAAGATTGGAAGAGGCCCGAGAAAAGTGGGTATGTGGGTATGCATGGGATGAGGATTCCGACTGGGGAAGAGTAAAAGCGATGATGATATGGTTGGCGACAAAGAAACTCTCTCTACAACTTGACATTTCCGTGAATCTTGCCCCCGTCAAGCACAATCGTGTCACCATTGACATGGCTTCCCGCCCTGGAACTCAGAAATACGACCGCGGCAGCGATATCTTCGGGCCTGCCTACCCGTCCGTTCGGACTCGCCTTGCCCAGCGCCTCTTCTCCACCCGCCTGCTGCATCACCACATCCGTCATCTTGCTCGCGAAGAAGCCGGGCGCAATGCCCGTGACGAGAACGTGGCGCGGTCCCAGCTCGACAGCCAGGTTGCGCACAAGGTGCAGCACGGCAGCTTTGGACACGGCGTACGAAAAGGCGGCTGAATCACCACCGACCGAGCCCGTGCCGATTCCTGCAACGCTACCTGTTACGATCACCCGCGCGGGATCCTGAACTGAAGCTGCCTTTGTGAGCAACGGGGCGAATCTAAAATTCGAATGTCAACGAACGTCCTCCAATCCTCTTGTTCTTTGCTTTTTCCCTCAATATGAATCGGTTCTTTCCGTTTTTTTTCGTTCTTTTGCTCATGCTTTTTTCTTTGTCCCGGACGCCTTATCAGATTCTGCTTCTAATCCTGGACGAACCTCATACTTGAAGGGGGGACGGAGAGATAGGGTGGAGGGGAAAAAGTCCGGAAACAAAAACATACTTTTGGATTGTAAAAAATACGCCCTTGACGTTCAGATCCATGACGCGGTCCCAGCCATTCTTCTCATCGACAGCGTCAAACCTACTGCCCCATGTCGCCCCCGCATTTGCAAACAAAATGTCCACGTGATCGGTGTGCTTGGCTATCTCGCCCACCAGCCGGACGATCTCGGAGACTTTGGAACTATCGGCGGGAACGGAGTAGGCTTTTGCGCCCGGAGATTTGTTTGGCAGGGCGTTGAGGGCGGACGCGGCCGCGTCGCATGCCGAGGCCTTGCGCGAGGTGATGAAAATCTTGGAGCAGCCGGCTTGCATGAGACTTTTGATTTTCGCGGGAGAGAGTTAGTTTTTTTCTTCTCTTTATCGAGCGTTGTTTGTTTATCGTGGCATCGTGAAGATTATTTTTGGATGCGTGCAGAAAGTATGCATGGTACACACCCTGATGCTGCGTGGAGCCCTAGGCCTCGCGAGCCGCCGCTGACGACGGCGACTTTGCCTTTGAGGCTAAAGATGTTGGCAAAGTCTTGAAGCTGGACATCTTGTTCTGCCGATGACATGGTTGATGATCACGTGTGAATTAGAGTTGTGACAGATGCTTTGTAGAGCGTGGTAATGGCGCCGAGCGAAAAAAGAAAAAGTAAGAAAACAGACTGGAAACTAGAGGCTGGCCTGATAGACCCCTAGTAGTATAACAACCCTGTTTGCGACCTCGGCCTTGTCGTTCACCGTGCAAAGGGTGTACCGAGGCAATTTACCACGCTAACTGCAATGGCTCCAAGCAGCCAAAGACGTCCAGAGGGACTTTTTGTTCAACTACATGGCGGAACAAGACACAAAGAGCACTGCATGGTACATGGTGGATGCAAAGTCAAGCAGATAAGCATTGGTGGGGTGTGTGTGTGTGTGTGTGTGTATCATGTTAGAAGAGTGGGCTGTAAAGATCTCAGCCCTATCGCATGTTTGATGATTTGCACAACGTTTCGCCTAGACCTACCGTGTCATGCATTTGGACTAGCGGTCGGATGTAAGCAGGGCAGCAAGTGCAAGCAATGGTCCCTGGTTCCAAAGGCCACATGGTGGATGGTGGTTGCCTCGTATTTTTCCGAGTGGTTGAGTGGAGGTGGTCGAGTTAAGGTTTGGGGGTTCATTGAGCCACTCGGTCGGGTCATTGCACAGTGGCAACTTCAACCCGGTGGTGTCGGTAAGACAGGTCTCACCTTGTGAGGCGCGCAGCAGCTGTGCCTGGCGTGATTACCAAGATATTTGTCATGAATGTCGTGCGAGCATCATGGACGGGAAGGGAAATGAGGCCATCAGGCGAGGCAAGAGGACGGATGCGTGGAAAAAAAGGTGCGGATATTGCAGGGGCAACCACGTTGAATCCTTTTGCCGATCATTCTTTGTCGATTGATACCTTTTCTAGGGCGGCTGTAAGAGCGTTCGCCGACATGGCACGCATGCCGTGTGGTGGACGCGTCGGCAAGTTTGCCACCAATGTTGAGCACGCATTTGGCCTTTGCGGCGCTCTCGCTGCGAGACCGGAGGAGCGAGCTTTTAGGCATTTTGCAAGCGCGCGCGCAAGACTAGCCGTGGAATAGGATGCAATTGGACTTGAAAAGGTGTCGATCGGCTGGGGTGGGAGAGCCAAGGCAAAGAGGGCTTAAAGGGGAGGGGAAGTGTTAGTGTACTGCCAACGGCACATTTCGGAGTACCATGGTCGATTTGAGAATGGGCGGGGGCCATGATTCGGGCCTGTGTTGCAGACGACGGGCAGTCTTGCAGATGGGGTGTTTTACTCGACCAAGTTGGTCTTGCCCTTCGCCCTTCTCGAAAAGCCCCTCTCGGCTGGCTTCCTGAGACGGAGCCTGCCGGACGGCCAGGGGGGCCGCGCAATCATGGATGATCAACAAGCGATCAACTTTGCAGATCGAGAGGGCGCATGTAGGAGACCCTTTTTGTCTGGCGGAGTGGCAGGTTGAGGCGGTAGATGCAGCCAAGGAGCAGGCGGGCAGGCAATCAATATTCAACGGCAGGCCGCAACAGGCGACGGGTGTGACGAGGGAGGAGGGAAGAGGCGAGAAAGTGAGGGAATAGGGAGGGAGACAGGGCCGAGTGGCGCATGGTGGAAGGAGCCGAGGCGGGCTGAGATTGGTGGTCTGGCAGGCGGAGGATAGGACGTGCCAAGGCGTGTATCAGAAACATGGCAGCTGTGCTTGAGACGTGCGGCGAACGCCTCGTAGGGCTCCGGATGCGCGCGTGCTAGGCGACGGGCAGAGTCAACTCGCCGTGGCAACGAGCAGCGCCGTGCCGGTCTAGACGAGCGGTTCGGCAGTTGGGGGGCTCACTTGGGGCCCTTTGGGTGCTAGCAGGTAGGGCCTGGTCACCGCCTCGGCACCAGGCTGACCCGTGGTCGTCTTAGTGGTGGTGATGCCGTGTGTGAGCAAGCGTGGACGGCTACTAGTGTGTATAGTACTAAAAGTACGCAGGAAATTAAAACTAGGAGAAAAGTGGGCATGGCAAGGCACGTTTATGACAGGGCATGGCATAGTATGGCAGTGGGGCGCGCTCGGGACGGGTGTGGACAGGCCAAACGTGGGGAAAACACGTTTTGCAGGTGGTACTTGTACGTACCGGACGACGTACAAGTGTCCATGTACTACATGAGTAGAGCAGTAGACAGTGCGTAGTTGCAATTATAGCGTGCGCACGTACATGTACTAGACGTGTAATCTTCATGTATTTATTAGATGGTAATACTTTGTTACAGTACTCTAGTCTTTACGTAGTAGTAATACACGGTAGTTACTTGGTCGGCACTGACACTGGCAGGCCCGGGGATCGCCTCGGCCAGCGGTACGAGCGAGCCCAAAGGCTATTCTGGCGCTTGCATCTGCATCCATCTGCATCCATCTGCATCTGCATCTGCATCGGCACTGCGCAGGGCCGGTCCACGGCGGGCTCATGCTCAGAAGACGCACAGGGGAGCATGCGTCCAGTCTATTATGGGATGGCCGATGGGGGGGAATGGGACGACGCCACCGAGGCCGCCAATCTCAGCTTTGTACGCTTGCTTGCTTGACACACTCTCACACTCACACTGCATTACGTCGGGGTGACACGAGTGGGGCTCGGTGGCTTGACGTCTGTGGCGCACCCGCCGTTGAAACTCTGTGGCTGTGACTGGGGCTGTGGCTGGGGCTCCTCCGCTGAACCACTGCCATTGCCACGCCCACGGCCACCATGCTCATTCGATCCAGAAAAAAAACCCGCCCACGCACCCGCCCACGCACCCGCTCTCCCGCTGCCCCTGGACTGACACAGGCACCGCGCCATGGGCCCTCTCGCCTGGCTGGCCGCGTGACACCTGCGCCGTTGGCTGACGCATTCCCTTCCCGTCCAATGCTCGCCTTGCAGCCGGGACCTGCCATGCCCATGTCTTGGCCGGGGCGACAGGCGGTAACGAAAAGCCTTCAATTCCCACATGCAGGTCGACCCCTGCTGAAATCTCGCCGAAGACGCCTGCCATGGGCGTTTTGGGAGAAGCGTTGTGGACCGCTGGCACTTTAGGCACGAACCGATCATCTTCTGGAACATGAGGCTTCGACAAGTCCCGACTGTCTGCTCCTCCCAAGCCTGTCTGCCCGGATCGGCGCCCGACTTGACCACGGAGATGGCATCCCGTGTAGTCCTAGAGCCTCGACTTGTGCTTTCGCGTCGTCCCGTATCCAGCAAGCGCCTCCAGCTGTACCCGCTTTACGGAGCCATTGGGCTGTCGTCACGAAACACAGGCACGCACGCTTGCATGCCACCCATTGCCCCACCCGCTGACCCAGGCCCAGGGAATATATCTCTCGACTTTGGTGGCACTCGAGACCCGCAAAAAGCTTCCTTGCCTCTTGTGCTCTGCATACTCACTTACGCAAAAACTACCCTCCTACTGGCCATTACCCCTACGTCAGCTGCTCCAAAACAGCACCGTGTTTCTCTTTTTTGCTGCCGCACTACCACACTAGTCAACCATCCGGGAAAGCAAGACAAGGGCCACCGAGCCTCCGTCCCCCCTCCCATCTTGCCCTATTGCTATTACTATTACTCTACTCTCAACAGCCACCCACGACTGCCAGGGCCCTTTTGCATGTGTTGCCGCGGACCTGCCTCTGCCCTCTCTGCCTTTTGCCAATTCTCCCTCTCCCCTTGTCCTCCCCCCAACCCCCCAACCCCCAGTTACTCCCAGCGTTTGGAGTAGTAGCCAATATCCACCAGTACCGCGGCCATTAAACCTTGTTGCCAGCTCGCCGCGCTCCGAAGGTGTGCCAGGGTCTCCACCACTACCATCCAGACTGAGGCTAATTAACTGTGCAGCATCACCACCACCTCCAACATTGCTTCCTACAGAGGCGTCGGTCAAATCCACTTCTCGCCTGGCCTGGTCCCCCCCCCCCCCTGGCCCGCATTTTCTCAGCCTTCTTCACTGACTGCGCTGTCTGCCGCCCCCGGAGTCTCTCCCGTCACTTGCTCATATCCGGTGGCCTCGGTCGCCGTTGAACTAATAGAGAAGGAGCTGCGGGTCGTTCTTTCCACTCTAGCCGTCTCTGCTCCCGATTGTTACCCCAAGCTTTGACTTGTCGGCCACTCACCCATCGGTTGGCTGAGAGCGCTCCATCAAGCGACACGGAACACCACCCGACCACCGCGCATCCAGCTTGTGTAGGTCTACGCCTCGGGTTGTTTCTTCTATTACCAATCTTTCCGCTCTACCTGTACGGGTTCCCCACTCTGGACTAAGGGCCCGTTGATCGACTCACCTATCCACGCTCCCATCACATTGCACATCTCGCCGCCTTACGCTCGGCTACGTTATGTGCTGCTGACAGCCACCCTCATTGGCTGCCTGCTTCTGTGTGGTGCCACGAGGTGGTCAATCGTTGGGACCTCGACAGTGCTTGCCGTCATCGACTGCTGCCGTAACTACTGACTGCTCTACAGCCACAGCTTCCTGTCTACCGGCGGCCCTCATCACTCATCAAAGTCTGGACCGGAGCTTCCGAACTGCTTCCCCGCTCCTGTGCTGCTAACCATGCACAAGTCGTCCACTGGCTCAAACGGAGCATCTCCAACAACAATGACACCTGCACCCAATCCCTTTGCCCTGGCGCAACAAACTCCTCGCCCAACGACTCTGCTTGCTGCACCGAATATCCCTCAGCCAGGCTCCAGATCACCACACTATCCTTCGAGCTCTTACAGTCATTCTGCCTCACCAAGTACTGCCTCTGCAGGCCTACCGGACATTCAACGCCAAGATGGCAGTGCCTTGGTCATCTCTCCCACCCAGATACCCTCTGCCAACTTGGCTGCACAGAAGAGAGCCTACAGACAGCGAAGAAAGGACCCTTCATGCGACGCATGTCGAGAACGCAAAGTAAAGGTGAGTTTGTAAATCACAACAGGGACCGTATCGACCCAGACACGTACCTTGACCCACATGTCCCCGGAGGGAATGCGAGCAAGACAGTAGCTGGTTGGAGAGAAGGGGGAGGCTTGTGGCTCATGTCGTGATTGGCCGTACATTTGTCCAAATTTGTCCACTGTCCATCTCCGCACGTTGAGCAGACATGCCCTTAAAGGCATCTACGGCCCCTAATCAGCGAAGGTACATTATTGTACGCATGGCTTGAGCAGGCGGACTGGGGCCTTTCTCGAAATTGGCTAACCATATTTGCAGTGCGATGCTACCGAGACCTCAGCATGTTCAGAATGTTCGAGCCGAAATCATCGGTGTCAGTTCACCAAGGAGACAAATCGCCGCATGTCATCAATCAAGTAAGTAGTCGTCATCTTGTGTAGAAGTCTGTGGTGGAAATGCTCATTGTGCACAGGCAGGTCCAGGACTTGCAGAGTCAAATTGCCGAGTTGACTCATGTAAATTCCCAGCTACGAAACAAGGTATCTGACCAGAGTCCTATGGATGGAGAGCGAACAGACATGAAACGCAGACACTCTGAAGTATACACTGGAGTGGTACTAGGACCGCGGCAGATATGTGTACCAGTCCTAGACAACTTCAACCACGTTCGCAGTAACATTCGAGAGCATTCTCACGACATATTCAATATGCCCCACCAAAACGTCTTGCGGACTGCGGAGCCGAATTGGCCGCTGCCTGCGGTGCCTTTGCGTGCAGACTATGCGTACTTTTCTCGGTCGTTCCTCGATACGGTACACGATTGGTACCCTGCAATACATTGGCCTACCTTTCAGCACAAAGCAGACGAGGTTTATGCCGCACGCAGCTTTGAAGGTTGCTCTCGGGATTGGATTGGCTTGTTCTTTGCAGTACTGGCTTGTGGCTGTTTGCATCCTAGATCAGAGCACAACATTTCTTGCAACGTGCTATCAGAAGGCCAGGCTATGTTTGAGACTGCAGTGTCTGCTCTCCAGCCTTGGACACAAGAGCTTACTATTACACATGCTCAGGCGGCTCTGCTGTTGAGCATATTTGCCACAGAAAGCAACCAACGCTCCCTCGGCTCCATCTGGCTTGCGTCTGCGGTAAGAATTGCGCAAGAACTACAGATAAGTCCTGAAATGGACTGTTGGTCCGCTTTTGACGGCGAAATTCGACGCAGACTTTGGTGGTCCATCTACGTCCGTGACAGGTGAGCAAAGCCTGTCTGTCTGATATGAACTATTCCTGGGGACTAACCGCAACGCAGAATCATGTCACTCGAGACAAATCGTCCAATGTTAATCAACGAGAACGATTGCGAGATTTCGCTCCCATCATCAGTCGACGATCGCTACATACAGCCCAATGAGCCATTCCGTCCCTCGACAAAACCAGCCCATTATACTGGCTTTGTGGCGACAATACACATTACGCGCCTCTACGCCCCCCTACAGCACGCTTTGAAATCTAGCGTTATGCTCCCACAAACAACAGAAAGCTTCGATGGACAGCTTCGCTCAAAGTTGCTCCTCCTGCCTGAAAACCACCAGCCAGACTCAGGGGCGCTGCTCGATGCAAGGGTGTTGCCAACAGTTTTCGTCTTGCTCTCGGCTCGATTTCATCTCCACAGGCGGAACCTCAGCCCATTGTCGAGCGCTATAGGCCGAGCCAATGCATTAGAACGATGCGTCTCTATTGCCCAGGACACGGCAAAGTATGTGTCAAGAGTATTGCACAATCCTTCAGTCCGCAGTTCTGGCCAGACAGGGGCAGAGAGAATGGTGTTGGCCGCGAGTAACGCAGTATGTCTACATCTGTGGCGATGCATCCTGGTATTATGCTTCCGGGGCGAGTATGATGCAGCCTTGGTGTGCTTGCATCTCTCGGAAGCTATTGGCAGCACACGCAAGATTAATGCTGCTTGCGGCAAGAATATTGCCTTCTTTCTTGAGCGACTATTCGACCGAACGCGCAACGGTATCGGCAGTGGCAAACAGCTGGAACACGACGAGGAGATGATTGCATACCTGAGTGCTGACATACAAGGCAGTCTGGAGCATTCCTGGGTCTGGGCAGGTACCAGTATGGTTTCTGTGCCGGGCCAGGACTCGGCACCTGGCGCGACGGCATCGCCGGGAGGCGACGAAGCAATGCGAGACCGACTACCCTCACGCGCGCCACCACCCAATGCATTGTCGAATGGAAGCGCAGAATGGAATGACTGGGGCCTGGTTGAGCACATGGTGCGGCAATTGATGGGCGAGCGCCATCACCGGAGTACGCAGCCAGCGGCCTATTATCCACCAGTGCACAATCCCGTCAAACGAGTGCAACTCGCATCCGACACGTATTCACCGCCAAAGAGTCTATCAAGTCCCAGCCCAGCACCGTCGAGCACAAGTCGTATCAGCATAGCGAATATCATCTAAGACCAGAAGAGGGGCAATGTAGATCATGTACCAACAGGGTACATTTTCGCCTGCATGCATCCGCTTACCTCTTGCCCACGTGGTATTGGAGAGTCAAGCGAGATAGTCGCAAGCAATTGGCCGTTACAAAAGACGCCTAGCTTCTCAAAGAGGGTACTGCATGCTGCGGGAATTACAGGAGCCCGAATATAGGCCAAGGGTGCAATCTCAGGGAACCAAATTATACAAAGTCGTAATTGCCCAACAATTGGCCTCTACTCAGCTTCCAAGGTACAGGCAACACCGCTTTGCAGAGGGAAGAATATATACGTGTCAGGCAGTACATGTGTGTTTTGTGAGGTTGAGGAGACGGTGTGTAAGAACAAGTACGTGGCCATATCTACCGCTTCAGTTGCTGCTATGGCAAAGCTAGACGGGAGGCGGAAGCAACATGTCGGCCAAGACTGGAGAGGGAAATTTTCTTGACCTGAGAGAGTTCGTATTCGGTGAAATAGGTGTAGAGAGAAGTGGACTGCCCAGCCTACTACCACTACTAGAATCGGCACCAATGAAGCAATGTGGTAGCCAACAGCCACTCTGCTTCTGCATCTCAGGGTCCGTGCCGCTGCGCGGTAACACCCGAACCTCTTTTCTCTTTCAGCTCTGGGACAACACAAACTAATCGGACCTATGAGTACACGAGGATACGGGTCTTTGTAACTCAGGTGCGAGGCTATGGCGCTGCATATATATATATATATATATACTGTATACATAATATAGATTGTACTGTGTACATTTAGCTAGACGCCTCGACATTGCAGAGGTTTCCAATGGGCTAGGTGCACACTTGAACGTATCATTGTCTTATTGCATCAGCCTAGATGTATTGTGTTACGCATACTATGTGTAAGAAGAATGTGGGTACGGGAGTGGGCGGATACATACATCCAAAGATAGCCATTGACAATGACGCGGTACACATGCGTAGGTGCACGATTGTACCTGGCAAAACACCCCACCCCGCACCCTCCCACCTGTCCAGTATACCCCGCTATTAGCTGCCCCAAGACAGCTAGCTCACGACCCAAATCGGCTAAGAGGGTGAAGGGCGGTGAGTATACATTGGTATTATTTCCCAAGACAAGCTTTTCGAGGGCAAATGCTTAGCCAGGCCCGTGCTACTACTACCCCGCCATGCCACTGTGCCAGACTGCAATTCACCGTCTTACCCGCTGCCCCTCAGGACGACGGTGAGCATATGCCAGGGGCTACATGGCAAATGCCCAGCTACACGTATCCTGGCTAGATAGCGGTCTGGCTCCTAATTGACGCGTCGTACAGCGTTGGCTTGCATGTTGGCCTATGACCGGCCACATCACTTTGGGATAAGCGCGTGCCGTCCATGGTGGGGGCTGCATTACTGCGGTGCTGCGCTGTGCTGTTGAGCTGTACCGGAGACTAGAATGCACTTTGGGATTGGGGGCTTTGATTATCACCCGTCCAAGCTACGTAGCTGCTTACGCACCTTGGTGTTTGAGCCATATTAAGCTGTGCCTTTCCCCCCCCCCCCCGCCCCGCGCAGCCTTGTCTCCTGCCCACCAGCTTCTACCCCTCCAACGCTCTCTCCCACACGACTCCCCCTCACATATCTCACCATGGTGCACATCAACCGCGTAGCTACCTTCAAGGAGATTTCCGAGGAGAAGGCTCAATTCGACGACATTGCTACTGCAAGCACCATCAACTTGAGCCCAGACGATGAGGTTGATGACTTTACTGCCACCGTCTATGGTAGCAAGTATGCTGCTGAGGACCTACCAAAGTACGAGATGCCGGTGAGTTTGTCCAGACAATACAAATTGCCAAGTGCAGCACGCTGACTAGATGCAGGATCGAGAAATGCCCCCTCAGGTGTATGTATCACCACACTCATAACAGCGGCTTGGACAGGTTGCTGATGTCTTGTTAGGGCCTACCGAATGATCAAGGATGACCTCACACTCGACGGAACACCAACGCTGAACTTGGCCTCTTTCGTCACTACATACATGGTATGCACCCCGTGACATTCCTCCAGCCATTCGACGCTAACACAGCCCCTAGGAGGAGGAAGTTGAGAAGCTCATGGTGTATGGCCACAATAACCTCTTATTGAGAATACCAAAGTAACCGTATCGTGTAGCGACGCCTTCTCCAAGAACTTTATCGATTACGAAGAATACCCAGTCAGCGCCGACATCCAAAACCGTACGTGTGTTCAAAGCACTGTAGAAATTTTATAACAGAGACTGAGCTGTATTAGGATGTGTCTCTATGATTGCGAGACTTTTCAACGCTCCAAGCACAGATGATGCAAACATTATCGGTACTTCGACGATTGGATCTTCCGAGGCCATCATGGTTAGTGTTGAAATGAGAAGAAACATGAGTCTGCGACTAACACTACGCAGCTGGGAGTACTGGCCATGAAAAAGCTGTGGCAAAATAAGCGAAAAGCAGAGGGAAAGCCATACGACAAGCCCAACATGGTTATGAACTCGGCTGTGCAAGTTTGCTGGGAGGTGAGTTATTTGGATATTTTGCTCATGGGCCACAATTGCCAGTCAAGAAATACTAACGACTTACAGAAAGCGTGCCGATACTTCGACATTGAAGAGAAATATGTCTACTGCACAGCTGATCGTTATGTCATCGACCCCAAGGAATGCGTAGATCTGTGCGACGAAAACACCATCGGCATATGTAGGGAATCTATAGCCTGCACTGTAGTATCCGTCACTGACAATGATTAGGCGCAATTCTCGGAACAACATACACTGGCGAATACGAAGATATCAAAGCCATCAATGATCTTCTAATCGAGCGAGACATTGATGTCAACATCCACGTCGATGCTGCTTCGGGCGGCTTTGTCGCTCCTTTTGTCAACCCCGGGCTTCTCTGGGACTTCCGTCTTCCCAAGGTCACAACCATCAACGCCTCAGGACATAAGTATGGCCTCGTTTACCCCGGTGTTGGCTGGGTCGTCTGGCGCGATCCCCAGTATCTGCCCCAAGAACTTGTTTTCAACATCAACTACCTAGGTGCCGATCAAGCGTCCTTCACGCTCAACTTCTCGCGTGGTGCTTCGCAGATTATCGGACAATACTACCAACTCATCCGTCTAGGAAAGCGTGGTTACAGGAGGATAATGTTGAACCTGACGCGTACTGCTGACTACCTAGCTGCAAACCTCGAATCCATGGGCTTTGTCATCATGAGCCAACGCGGAGGAGAAGGACTTCCTCTTGTCGCATGCCGCATCGACGAGGATCTCGGCAAGCAGTACGACGAGTTTGCCATTGCGCACCAGCTTCGTGAACGTGGATGGGTTGTGCCCGCCTACACAATGGCTCCTCACTCGGAGCAGATGAAGATGTTGCGTGTCGTTGTTCGTGAGGACTTTACCAAATCACGATGCGACGCTTTGATTGCAGACTTCAAGCTAGCACTGCAAACTCTTGACACACTCGATGCCAAGAGAATCCAAGAGCACAAGGAGTAAGTTTGCCTAGCAGCCGATGACGGGTTTTTTTTGTTGGAAATGTGCTGACTTGGACATAGACACCAGTTCGCGATGCGCCGCCGGTCGACGCTCGTCAGCCCCGTCTTTCAAAAGAAGGCAACGGATCATTTTGAAGAGAACCACAGTCTGCAGGCCAAGACCGGCAAGACGCATGCGGTTTGCTAAGCTGGACATTAGAATATTGCAGCTTGGTGAGGCGTAGTAGATGACGAGTTTTCACGATAGACGAATCAAAAGATTATGAACACTGACACTCTGAGACGTTGACATGGCCCGGCTTGGCATATTCAAATGTAAACTAATCATGGCATGGAAGGCCTGGTCTATAGAACTCCATGGCAAAGATTCAGATCGGATCGGATCAGAAATGATGATTGATCGATCCTGATGTCTGGTGTGGAGGTTGCTGTGCTGTATCCGATGCTCCCACAACGACGTGGACCACTCTCTGTCGGTCCACTATTTAAAGTTTTCCAGCCTTCCGATATCCTCTCATGACTCGAGGCACAAGTAATCTCGCAGACCCCATCAAAGTCAAATGGTGTGGCTGTCTGGGGCTCAAGGACGTGTTGGCGTATCCGACATGGCTTGGCGAGAATGAGCGGGTTTCTTGTCGCCTTGTTATCTTCATGAGATCGAGTTTCTGACTCTGTTCAAGCAAGTGTTGCTTTTTCTATATTTCACGGGCTGCATAAAGCGACGATCTCAAAAGCAACAAATATAAAGGGCTATCGTGTTTGGTCAGATAACTTGATTTTAGATAAACATTCGTGTCTGGTAGTGGGCAGGGAATACAGGGGCGGCTCGTGCCACCTTATGACGCCAAAAGGTTATTATGCTGATTAGCGGGTGGATGAAGGCGGCACGCCATGTGCGCAGGATGTTGGTGTCGGAGTTTCATCATCGGTGTATGGAACTAAGTTTGTGGGTGAGCTCCGAGGAGTCGGTATTGCACCATGTTGTACATACAGCTATCCCCCCTATGTAACGTTGTCGTGAAAACGCCAGGCACGGTGATGGCGTCTTCTTCGGACCTTCTCCACAGAGAATCCATGGGTACGGCATTCAGTACCGGAGCTGCAAGCCATGAGCATCAAAAGCCGTTGTCGTCATAGGAGGCTGATCGGAGCTTAAGGAACCAATGAGGTGAAGGACTATTTCCTGGCAACATGCAGCACGTGCACGGATCGCACAGCTCAATATGTGCAGGAACGAGTTTTATCACATACAGCCCACACTATAGACACTCAACCATCTTGCCATAAGATTCCTCCCACTCGTAGACACCCAGTTGAGGGCAAGATCCTACCAGATCTACCAGGATCTACCTACACCAATCAACAAACCTCTCGCATCACGCATTCTATGCTGCCAAGGCATCATGACTCACCTGGGCTCGAGGATATTACTTGTTTCTACTGCACTACGGTTCCGGTAGTCAGTCGCTATCGTGGCCGTCGCACGCGATAGACCCACCGCCCACTCAGCTCTGAACCGTTGTAGGGCTGTGGTTTTGTGGCTGTTACTGAGGCGCAGCCAAGGACTCCAATTTAATGATCAAATAACTCCAACGAAAAACCAAACAGGGTATGCCTGGAAAGTCAAGAGCAGTAGACACTGTGTGATTACCGAATTCATATGTAATATCACTAATCTCTATCACAGGACCATGCCCCTTCACGACTCAGGCATGGCTAGTGACGCGACTTGACCGTGTCTGGGGGTTATTTCCCATTAAACAGCGGGCATCATTAAGTTAAGTTCAAGAGACACTGATCTGCAACTCCCGCCAGAGCTTGCAAACTCTATCTGATATACGACTCAAGTCTGACGGCTGTGTCGGGCACATGAACACGATCTTAGCTCAAGAGCTAGGCCAATCTGTGGGTCTGATCTACAAGCGGGCCGCGAGCCATCTCACACTATACGAGTCATTGCTAGCTACCAACCCTGAAGACAGGAACAAGGTAGGTAGCCTAGATCACTGTTGCGGGCTAAAGGGCGATGAGTCGGCCCTAATAAGCCAGGTCCCTGATGATAATCAAAATGCGACGCTGCCCCGTAACGGAGTCAAGATGGCGAACCCCATTGGGAGGGGTGGATACATCCGCACTGAGAATCCAACAGCCCTTGGCATTCACCCTCTCGAGTAAACTTCCGAATCTGAGAGCGGGCTCGGGGAGAAACATCCCGGCAACTAGGGACTGGTAACGGGGGAGTATGGTAGTTGGTCTCGGCGGCATCCATCGTTCATGCCGTGTAACCCTCGCCCGACAGTTGTTACATGTACATACGATCGCTACCCCGATTTCTCAAGTCTTCGTCCGAACTGAGGGTCTCCTCACAGCCTGATCGCCGGAGAAGCGCATTCGTCCAGGCCTGGCTCACTCTGCACACCCAGGATGTCGACGCAGTTGCAGAACTGGGTCAGCAACCCAGGCGAGACTCATGGCCCACTCATGAGCATCACTGTTTGGTCGCTCTGCGGAGTCGCTGGTTTTTTCCTCGCTCTTCGGTTGGTGATTCAAAAAAATCAAGGGAAGTTGTGGTACGACAGCTTGATTCTTACCGTCAGTTGGGTAAGCAATGGAAAAACCTCTACCTCAAGAAAACGACTAACGCGCAACATGCAGTTATTCCTGCTGTGTCAAGCCACTCTTAACCAGTTAAGTATAAATCTGGGCTTTGGAAAACACTCGCTTGATAGTAAGAAGCTACACGAGCGACGCATGTGATACCGAGGATCTGACTCCTTTGCACCAGTTGACTTCAGCCATTTCGAGACCATCACTTATCTTGGCGCAACCGGACTCACCGTATCCACGACTGCCATCACCCTCAGCAAGATATCGTTCGGGGTGACGCTGTTTCGTTTGACTGAAGGATGGATCAAGGCGTACGTGTGCTTTGCCATGGCTACTCTTTTGATATTCGCGATACCGACCTGCATCCTGCCTTGGGTCCTTTGCAAGCCGTTGACTAAGACTTTTGTGGATATCATACCGGGTACATGTATGGATAAGCATCCGTCTGTCATCTATGGACGATTTCAAGCTAGTTAGTAGTGCTTTTGTGATGCGTCGGCATGTTGTACTAACTCGATGTCTAGTATGGTCTGCAATCATGGACATTTCTCTAGCTCTCATTCCATGGAAGATCATTTGGAACTTGCAGATGCGCCCGGCGGAGAAGATTGGTGTCTGCATCGCCATGAGTCTGGGAGTATTGTAAGCCAATCCATCACGAACCATGTAGGCTCTACTAACCAGATCAAAGAGCAGGAGTGACCGCGATTCTTCGAGGTCGATATGTAGAGTTACTGACCAAACAAGATCTCTCATGTACGTTATGTAACATGCACTTCTGTGACCTTGGCTGACGTATACAGACGACGCCACCAACACTGTTATCTGGTCGGCAGCAGAGTCTTCCATGGCCATTGTCGCAACGTCGATACCTGTACTCCGAGTCTTCTTTAGACAAGCCGTCACCACTGTGATTAACTCATACCAAAATTCGTCGCGAGAAAGAAGGTTCAAAAGCCAGGCTTCAAATCTATCAGGTATGAACTCGTCAGCACACGGGTCCAAACTGGGCTCCAAGAATATCAAGATTGAAGCCACAAGCTCATCCTCAAACAAACGGCGGTCAAACATGTTGAACTCAGACGGCACTACAAATGTTAGCCAAGAATCATTAGTTAATGCGGATGGAAAGCGACAAGAAGCGTATGTGGAGATGGACAATCTTGTCGTCGACGAGGTCACAGGGCGAGTCACTCTGGCATCTCCTGCATCCATGAATTCACTAGAAGAAGGATTGCCGCATCGGCCGCATACACGTTTATGATACCCTTTCATTATCACAATCTCTTTTGGATCAAAGATGAGGTCCAAAAACGGATGAGCCACCAACGGCTGCCCAGGAGCAAAAAAAAAGGCCTCCAACCGCATCCATAGAATACAGCACGAGTTACGACGTCATAATGTTAATCATTCAGCCACTACTACGCATCCAACGCCTTTGCATCTGCTTTTTTCCTTCCACCATTATTCCATGCTAACAAGGAACGATGCTTCCGACCCCCTCATCAGAACCGTTCATACACGCATTCAACCCCTCTGCCTCCTCTCCTCCAGAACACCTCTGACGCTGCACTAAACCGATAACAACCCAGCAAGATCCCAGAAACCCTCAAACTTTGCGGCAAGAACTCGGCAGACAACCCCAAGAAAACCCCTCTCTCATCTCCATATCAAGCGCAAAATGAAATGCAAACCAAGCATGACGATCTTTGCTTCTTCTAGCACAACCCACATCGTCCACACTAGCCCTGATATTTAACCTCTCAGCTGCGGAAACCGGCCGCCCATACTTCCGCACGCGCACTAGTCCTACTCTGCTGTGGCTTACCAAAGTGAACGCCGACTGCACGCCTCAAAAGCACAGTCCATGCCCTTATTCTCTCCGTTACCCGCTGATCCCCGTCGTGTGTAATCCTTTTTGATCGTATCTAGTACCTAGTTACTCCCCCCAACCCTGTTATGTCAGCCAACCCACACCCGACCCTGCTGTGTCTTTTCCTCCGACCCACCCAACCCCCCCGCAATACTAGCAGCCTACACCGCAAACAAGCCAATCAGATACTTTGCAAAACCACGCTTCTGGTGGACCCCTTGCAGCACGAGATCGGCGGGGGGCGCACGCACAACAGGGATTTGTTGCGATAGGTAGGCGAGGCGAGGGAAATAGGTGGTAAGGGTAATCACGAGCGAATTATTACGTGATTCAGGCTCTTGGGTCATCAGGGGAGGTAGATGAGGCATGACTCGGCATTTCATGGTAAGCGGTTTGGGTTTTCTTAGTTTGTTAAGGTTTAAACTTGAAGGGGGGAGGGGGGGGGGCAAATGAGGAATTAGGGTATATAGCTGGGAGAGATAAGACTGGGGGTTATGCGGATGAACGGTCGTTTCTACAATCGTGAAGACACCAAAAAAAAATAACGTCGGTTTACGCTCTTTTTTTTTCAAATTATAATCCCCCCGATATTGTTGATTCCCCTTGTCATACTATCCTTATTGTCGTGTAATCTACTCATCGGATTTTTTTTTTAAATATTGGAAGGAATATTGAACACAGAGACAAAGATGAAGACATCAATTCTCTACACGGCATCCCTGCTCATCACCGCAACCACCGCTTTTCCCACCGCCCTGCTCAACAGCGACATCAGCAGCGACACACTTGCAGAAATCAACAGTATCGTTGCGAAAATCGAGCGCGAGACCGCCGCTGCGTCGAATACAAAGCGGCAGTTGGGATTTGGGTTCGTTAAGCCGGGGTTCGATGCTAATGTGCAGCGTGTGAGCAATACGGGGGTGCATCGATATGTATGTTTCTTCTTCTTCTTCTTCTTCTTCTTCTTCTTCTCCTTTTCTATTTCTCTATCTTGCTCTCTTTTCTCTCGCTCTTGCTCGTAATTTGGTGTTTATGGGGGGGGTTTAGGAGTTAGGATAGAAGGAGAAAGCTAGCTAACGAAGATACAGATAGCACCAGGCCCCAACGACATCCGTGGACCCTGCCCTGGCCTCAATGTCCTCGCAAACCATGGATATATCTCGCGAACGGGAGTTGCATCTGTGCTTGAGTTGACGACTGCATCGACTGAAGGTCCGTATTCCACCTCCCAAACCTCAAAGCCCATCCACCCCTCCTCAGTTCAGGTTGCTAACAGAGTGACGGATTAGTCTTCGGCATGGCAACCGACCTCTCAGCCTTCCTATCCGTCTACTCCGGCCTCGTCGCCGGAGATCTCACCACCGTGTCTATTGGCGGTAAGCCCAAGAGCGGCGGTCTGCTTACAAGCGCGACGTCGTCGCTTGGCCTGCTGGGCGAGCCGCAGGGATTGAGCGCGTCGCATAATCGGTTTGAGGCGGATTGTTCGCCTACGCGAGCGGATTTGTACAAGACGTACGTTTCCCTCCCTTCCTTTTCATTATTTACTTAGTTGATGGGATGGATGGATGGATGGATGAATGGGGGTGGTGATGGCTAATGGTGAACAGCGGCGATACCGACTCTCTCGACCTCTCTCAATTCGAACAACTAGCTGCCATGCCGCTCGGCCCAAACGGATACGATCTCACCGTCATGCATCCCTTCCGGGGTTCGCGCTTCAACAACTCAATTGCGACGAATGGACGCTACTTTGCGGGGCCGTTTACGCACTTTGCGATCAACACGGCGACGTACCTTTTTACTTTCCACTTTTTCCGCAACCACAGCGCGCAGTTTCCTGATGGCTACCTGGATTTGGAGACGCTCAAGGCGTTTGAGGGGGTGACGGGTGAGAAGGGGAGTTTTAAGTGGGCGTCTGGTCGGGAGAGAATTCCCGATAATGTATGTTCACTTTTACTATCTCTTGGCGTGTTTGGGCTAGGATCTCGCTTTGCTGACAATCTGGGTGTCTAGTATTACCGCCGTGCTATCGGTGATGAATACGGTATTGCGTCTTTTGCTCTCGACGCTGTACGCGCGCTGCAGGCGCTCCCCTACATGGCTGTTATTGGCGGTAACACCGGCAAGCCTAACACGTTTACTGGTGTCAATATTGCGGATTTGACCGGTGGTGTTTTCAACGCTGAGACGCTGCTTCAAGGTAACAATGCCATGTGCTTTGCGTTCCAGTTTGTGCAGTTTGCCTCGCCGGATATCCTGGATGGCCTGCTTGGCAATGTTGTGCTTGCGCTACGCAAGCTGACGGGTGTGCTTGATCCTATTCTTGCTACGCTTGGGTGCCCACAGGCTGCCAAGTTCGATATGGGATTGCTTTCGAGCTTCCCTGGTGGAAAGATGTAAAGGCGAGATTCAGGGACGTCTGTAAGATACAACAACTGTTTATATTTTTCTCTTCTTCTTCGTATTTTTACACCATTGCTGGGCCCTGGGGCGGGCTACTAGCTTTGAGGCGAAGACCTGGATTGCTGAACCTAAAAAGAAAATCGTAATTGCTATTTTTAATTTATACCAATAGTTGCATTCTTTTACGATGAGCGCAAATGGCATCAATGATTGCGTGTTTTGCCGGCCGGCTGGACAACGTTGGCGTCGGAACAGTACGAAAAATGGAATATACGTAAAAATGCAAAGCAAGTCTCTTGACCAGACACATTTCTCCGGATAGCAATGCCGAGTGGAGTTTCACGACGACAATGTCATGCTGTCCGCCGTGAACCGGAGAAGAGAGAAGAAAAGTGGTGGTTTAGGTAGGCAGAGCCGGCTACTACCCCGCAGGTGGTAGCCACGAGTTGAAACCGGGCCGGTCGATACGCAACCACTAATTCGCATGTACACGCCTTATTAAGCGAAGAGGGATTTTATCGAGTTGAGATAAGAAGCCATCATCTCCGTTGCATAAGTCCGATCGGATTCTAATTTAGCACTCGCTTTCCGAATAATTTCGCCTTCTCTACTACTCACCACAGATAATAGTAGTAACTCTTAGCATCCCAACTATCACCGCCATGGCCCCGTCCGCCATCCCAGCCGAAGCAACACCAACGCCGCAATCCAAGCAGCTGGTACCGCATTCCAAAGACGATGCATCAAAAGAATTGACACCGCTTCAAGCGATATCCCAGGGCGTGTGTCTCCCCAGCGTCCCTCTCTTCTCCTCCTTTGATAAACAACGCGCATGGATCCTCTCCCACATGGCCGGTCGGTACACCTTCTCACCCGTCTCATCCACGCAACAGCATAATAACCTCAATCCCAGGCGCGTTCCGGGTCTTTGCCCGAAAAGGTCTCACCGAAGGCATGAGCGGCCACATCTCGGTGCGCGACCCGGAAAACCCGCACACCTTCTGGACCAACCCGCTCGGTAAGCACTTTGGCCTGCTCACAGCCGCCGACATGGTGCTCGTCGACTACGACGGCAACGCCGTTGGCGGAAACCGCAGCAGGCCTGCCAACGCCGCTGGCTTCTTGATTCACTCGGCTGTGCACAAGGCAAGGCCCGATGTCAACGCTGCGTGCCACTGCCACGGTACCGCCGGTAAGGCTTGGAGTGCTTTTGCCAAGCCCCTTGAAATGATTAACCAGGACGTGTGCTACTTTTACGGCGAGGCACATGCTGTGTACAAGGATTTCGGGGGTATTGTGTTTGATGAGGCGGAGGGGAAGCGGTTAGCTGGTGCGCTGGGGCCAAAGGGTAAGGGTCTGATTTTAAGGAATCATGGGTTGCTGGTAAGTTGAGGACCCTGAGCGTTCGTTTTTTTTCAAACAGGGATAGCCCATGTTGTTGTTGTTTTTTAGTTGGTGCTGACGGTGAACTACACAGACTGTGGGTGATACGGTTGATGAGGCTGCTTATTTGTATACGCTCATGGAGCGGTCGTGTGAGGTGCAGTTGCAGGTTGAGGCTGCGGCTGCCAATGGCGTTCCCAAGGTTTATGTCGAGGATGCGGCAGCAGAGTATACGTTTAAGATGGGGAGTGATCCTGAAGTTATGTACTGGGAGTTTCAGCCGGATCTGGAGTATGAGTATGAATTTTGCAATGGGGCATTTAAGCATCCTGAGTGTGAAGAGGTTATTTGGAAGGGTTATTAAAGTTAAATAGATTATGACTATACGTTCTAGAATAGAATGAATGAGATGATTACGAAACCTTCTTTTCATTTTTTTTGGGTTCGCTTGTGCTTTACCGTATTCTTATGGGAAGTCTGCCTTAGTAACATTTTCCATTCAAGTTGGAAATCGTCAAATAGGCATGCGAATTTGTTGAGTTCATAATAGCAATCACGGACTTTAGCGCTATATGACTGGCAATTGATTCAAATATGATGCGAACTAGTAAGCGATGATGAATCGTCAGCTCGAGCATCTATTCAAGTGATTAAACTTCCCACAATTGCTCATTATTAGAAATGTTTACCATAATTGCAATCTACTCCAATTGGAAAGAAAAACAAAAAAGACCATCTTTAACGAGAAACAATACTCTTGCTCTGTCAAACGCCGAACGCATTACATTACCTGAACCCAGCTTCATATTCCATTACGGTACCAACTCACTTTCCCAAGCATAGTAAAAACCTACTCCGGACACTCTAAACATATAAGGCCCTTCATCAAACTACAAAACCCAATATCCAGCACTCTCTTCATTCCCATCCCCCAGCACCCACGGCGGAAACGGATACCGCTCAAGCGATCTATTCTGCATCACGGGCTCCCCGCTGTCCAATGATCTCCATAGCGATATCTGAGGCATCCCGGTAGTCGGTGCTTCACGCGGATGATTCACGGTAGACTTGTCAATGGCTGTTTTGAAGCAGCTTCGATAAGGGATCTCGACTCTCAAGTCACGTAGGTGTGGGGAGCGTTGAAAGGCGTCAATGAGGTGTAATCCCGGCGTCATGTTAAGGTCAGTATAGTCCTGCCACCAACCCTTGAGACTGATGCATAGGCTGCGTAGTTGGCGGCAGCTCGAGACGATGTTGTTGAGGATGGGCTCCAGGTTATCTGTGTCAATGAAGGTTCGCCTAGGGAAGTTTGCCTCGACATATCCGTCCATGACGATTATTTCCAGGGATGTGATACAGGCGAGTCGGCTGGGTAGGATGAGATCGGAAGGTAGAAGAGTAAAACCGTGGTCTGGATGGTGATGATGTTGGTAGAGTACAGGATATCAATGCCTTGGGTGTAGGCTTGTTTACATGACAACAGGAAGCCCATGATGCCAACTTTGTACTCTTCCGGAGGTGTTTCTTTGCATCCACAGGCGTTCCACCTGTCATTTGGGCAAATATCAGACTCCCAGTAATATCGCGTAGATGACAGTGCCCCCGGTAACTTTAGGTGGCAAATAGCACCTCTTCATACCCAGCCTTCGTGGCTGCGCACAATGTCCATGTGAAGGGCACGCCCGCCAAAAGCCATGGTGAGAATCATGTTGCGGATTTCGGCAGGGAGTTGGAAGAATGGACACCCTGGTGTGCTCAATGAAGTCGGTGTGATGGGACGTCGTGAAGATGGAAGGAATGGGAGGTGTTCTCCAAAGTACTTCGGTGGATCCGATCTGAAAAAGGAGGTGTTTCTTCACCCAAGCTCGGATTTTGCCCATTTTTGAGGTTTTGTGAAAGTGCGGAATAGAAGAAGAGCTCAACAGGCGGGTGGCACAGTTATAAGCTCCTGCAGCTGAGGAAACCCTACTCATCAATCCGCTTGCTGACGATCACACCCCTGTAGTAGTACGCCTGATGATATGCGTCACAGGCCGTGAAAATTTTCGTAGCTAATTTCTATCTCTAGGAGACCCAAAGATCGGGGCATGAAGGGAGATCGTATTCGTATCGGTGTACTTTATTCTAACACAAATACATTCTGATATATTGTGTTACATGACAGAGTTCATGTATACAAGCCGCTGGAAAGGGGACGATACAGGCCAGGGTAGAGAGTATGCGCCACACTGTAAAAAGTACGATCTATACTATTTATATTCGTGATGATTAAGAAAAGCGAGGTGTTGTCTCAATAATATTTTGCCACTAGCAGACCCACATACATCAATTGCGCCATGTAGCACAGTAAATCTGGTATAGTCGTCCGAAGAACAGCCTGATCTTTATTTTACCACGCCTCTACATACAAAAAATGTGTCATGTTGCACAGTACGATCTTGGACATTCGCATAAGTTCAAGTCAACAGATGTGAGCGGCCGATAGCTTACTATATGTATGCACCTCATACCGGCATGGTAACACAACGCTTAGAAATGTCACTACATAATCCCTACTAATTTCCTTCCTCTACATATATCATCCTTCTACGTAGGCACAGGTGGTCTCTGAGTGATGATCGTTGCCGTACTGGTGGGCTGGTAGTGCGAGTTTGTTGTCAGAGTATGCACTGACGTAATGCTACGTATCGAGCTAGAGGCCTTGACATTTGCCATTGAGAACTGGGTTCTATGCGAAGAACCGCTGTTGAAAGAAGTAGCTATATAATCGGACAATGTCATTGCAGTTTTGGTCAGCGGCAGTCTGGTAGAACATCTTGCAGTTGGAAGGCATGGGCCCACGGGAGGGACTCGGCGTGAAACTTGAGTTACTGTGGGCAGCGTAATAGGGATATATGTGGTTGGCTCTAGAGGTGGATTGAACTCGGGCTGTGGCGTCTCGTATTCGAGATCAGTGTTGCCTAATTGCCGCTGGACACCAACACAGACATAGTAACCTGCTAAAAATACAAGCACCCAGGACACCCCCCAGCCTCTGGTAGCAGTACTCAGACGTCATACTCGGGCCCAACGGCTGCTGTAGCAGAATTTCAATGAAATTGCCCGTGCTCCGCACGGGCCTAGTTATCACCTCAACGATAA